TTGGTGGAAAGTCTATGAAAGTATTAATTACAGTGGACCTACCAATCAAGTTTCAGAACCAGAAAGCTAGCCACTGCCTATACCTAATATGCATTGTGGATTTTCAGGTTCGAGCTGTGATTAATTTCTTTTTTCTGCTTCTTACTACTATAGGTAATGATAATCATTAATTGTTATTTATTCTTCAAAACTCTTTTACCATCATAGCTTCAACTCTCATCTTCGGATGTAGTGTATCTAATGTAACTGAAGCAGCGGACAGCTACAGTAATGGCTTGTACTTTATGCACATGCGCACCCACCCACTGAGAGACCGAAACGGATAGAAGAGAAGATACCAAATGAAAACAAAAAGTTTATAAACACGAATAACAGATTGAAATAACAGTAACAGAATTTAAAGTTATGTCGACCTATAGCTACGATAAATAACACAGAATTTCATGTCCTTTCTCACTGAACTGACATAATTGCTCTTGTTTTCTATTCCCCTGGCAAATATCTATGACAATATCATTTATAAGAAATAATTTATGGTTTATGTGTGGCCGCCATTTTTTTAGGCTTGTCTTTTAACAAATATCAACTCAATTTATTCTTCACTGTTCCTCGGTTATTTCTTTAAGATTTTTAAATTCTTATATTTTTTATTTTAAGATGTTATACTTTCTTTTTCTATAAGTATTTATATATATATATAAAGTTAATGACGCCTGAAATCTTAACAAAATATATATAACGATGAATATTCGAGCCCTTGGTGTAACAAGCGTGCAAAAAAAAAATATCGAGGCGTACCTGTGGGGAGGGATGCGAAACATCCACGCTAACATTCTTAAAAAATCTTAAAAGTCCAGTATCTTCTGATTTTTTTCAATAAACATTTGACTATCATGTAAACTGTCCCTGTGTTTTTAGCTGCGGCATAGCGGCTCATAGAATGTCTGAGTATTTTTCAAGTACAAACTTTTAGCTCCTAACTCAGTCATTACTTGACCGATTTTAGATCTAATTACAGTTTTGGACTCGGGAGGTTAAACCCTTTCGATTGGTGTATTTGACCACTCCCAAGGTCTCATAGATTAATCCTACCTAAAAGAATTTCATTTTGACGGTAGGCTGGTAGAGATCCTAATTATTAATAAAGTCGAATCGGGTATACGTGCGCCCCACGCTTGGCGCACAAAAATATAGCCAATAAAATGGAAAAAAAAGGTATCATCGATTAATTTACTTAATCCTGCCTAAAATATTTTCAAGTGCCGCGGTTATTGATGATTCCCTCTTGTTTTCGAAAGAATGACCACCACCCCACTCTGTAGTGCTGACCACGTTCCCTGACAAACGCATTGCTCTTTTATTGTGGAGAAATAATATCCTATAGTGATTTTATTAATCTTATATTTCATTTAATGATTTGATTTTATCACTGATAGAGTTCACTTAAATTACTTCTTTACGTTAGAATAATCAGAACAATCAGCACCTGCAGGAGTGGATCGAGACGATAATGTGTTGTACCTTAAGAGCCTGCGTGCATAACAAGTCTTCGTTACTTCAAGTTGTGCCCCCCAGTGGCACAGCGGTATGTCTGCGGACTTACAACGTTAGAATCCGGGTTTCGATACCCGTGGTGGGCAGAGCACAGATAGCCCATTGTGTAGCTTTGTGCTTAATTAAAACAAACAAACAAACTTCAAGTTGTGTTAAACTTTAATGGGTACTTGCTATATGGTAGAGACTTTTGAATGTCTGTGGCGAGTTTTTCTGGCTGGGCCAATGTCTACAGTAAATTAGATAAATTTAACTTAGACAGTTATGCTATCTATATATCAAGTTATAATAAATAGTAATAAAATAAAATCGAAAGTTCGACACACTAACTATTGGGCCACGCTTAGCCGTATGAAAACGATATCTACCAAAACCAACACAAAACAACAACAACAAAAAAGTGTCTAATACCAGTTCTGAAAGTGTGATCAATATATGAAAATAAGAAATTGAAAAGTGGATTGTAATTTCTTATGAAGCAGTCTTAAGATGGTGATGGTAGTTTGTGAAAACCAAATCTAAATTCATAAACGTTATTTCTTATGAAAAAACTCTTACTGTTACTTACCATAAAAAACAACAAACTGAAACGATAATTGTTATTTGCCGAAATAAACTAAGTTGAAACCCCCGGATAGGAAATCCTTATCAAACCCAGTACACTTACAGGATGAAGTATTCCTAGCTAACATGATACAGCTCCTCATCAATTTTCTTCATGAATATTCGTGTGAGACAAACCTAGAACTAGAAATGAAATTTGATAAGAAACTGTGATATATTAACTAAGAAACAAATCTGATACCATAACAATTATTTACTAAAATATATGCCTCAATTCAAAATTACTATTTGCTGGGGAACGAATATCAATTACTAAAAATATCATTTAATTTCCAGCCCTGACTTTAGTATGCTAAAGTACAAACCTCATTCCCAAACCTAACAACCCACGACTCACCTGAGTAGTCAAAACATGTTCTGATTGGGGGGTTTATACATCTATAATCAGGTTTTCGATACCTGCGATTTGTACACAGCAGATAGCTCATTGGGTAAGGTTCCTTTGTTTGTTTAAGCACAAAACTACACAATGGACTATCTGTAATGTGCTCACCATGATTATCGAACCCTGAGTTTTACTGTTATAACTCTTCATACTTACTGCTGAGCCACTAGGGAGCAGCTGTATACTTAACAACAAATATGTGAAACAACAAAACCTTTCTGGTTTGTTCCCTAACAAGTGCTCATGTCAAATTGTGTAGCTTTGTGCTTAACTTCAAACAACAACAACGTATTAGATGGAGTATACATATTTAACACGGTACAATTATTAGACAAAATATTTCTATGTAACATTCAACATTTATTGGATAGTGCATCCCTAACATGGCACATATATAAGATAGAGCACCTTTATCTAACATGAAACAATTAAGTGGCACAGCGGCATGTCTGCGGACTTACAATGCTATAAACCGTGTTTCAATACCCGTGGAGGCAGAGCACAGGTAGTCCATTGGGGGGGGGGGCTATCTAATAGGTGTACCATGTTAGTGTAGGATCGCCTATACAGTAAGTGTACCCTAATGCAGAAAGCCTTTCTTTTGGCTTGTTCTGCTGATTGGCTTCCTTATGTCAGGTTTTTAGTTAATAAATAGGGGTGAATGTACATAAAGCATGCTGCTCATGTTGAAAATATCTGTACCTGTTAAAGAAAGCAATAGACAAATTGATGATCATTTCACACAACAGAATATATTTTAAACTTTTAATTAGATTATTATATTAGATAATCATGAATTTTCATACCTCTCATACACGATTGGTTTTGATGAAATATCAATATACTAAGTATGTGAGATTTTTGCCTACCTGTTTATTATATCACTAACAAATTTTTATTTAAAGGTTTTTCTTTAAATTACTTCAATAGGCTTTGAATACCTGACGAATAACTCCCAGGAGAGAGTAGGGTTGGCATTAAAATCAAACTTAAACTACATTTAAAATGAAGCTGCTATCATTAAGAGATTAGATAGCGGATTAGTGTAGTTTAAAGCTCTTCCTTCTTGCTTCAGACAAATTAAATGAAATAATATCATAAGTCTCACCTTATAATTTAACAGTTTCATATCCTTGAATTAGTTGGAGCTTGAATAATTGGCGTTTCAATATATTTTACTTGGATGTTGGATAACTGGTTATGTAAGAGGGTACCTGAAAGAGACTGATGTTTAGAAATTAGCTGGAGCAACATTCGCGATATTCAACTCTTGTAAAACATACTGTCTTCAACCATCCACATTTTGCGTGCACTTTAAATATGGTTTGTTGAATATACAAATAACGCTTTTCTCGTTTAAACAAGTTTATACAGGTGAACTTTTCGACTCTATATTCGAGCTTTTTGTCTGTTTCTTCAAAGGTGAACTTTTCGTTCATACACATAAGCATAAACCTGTTAATAATTGTAAAGTTCCATACGAGTTCAAACATGGTTTACGGCTTCTTTCAAAAAACCAACAATCATAGCTGACCAGTTGTGCTTTTCGTGTATTGCAAAATGTTAGACGATTCTTTAAAATAACATCTGTGATATCGACTCTTTATTCGAGCTTTTTGTCTGTTTCTTCAAAGGTGAACTTTTCTTTCATATGCAGAAGCATAAACCTGTTGATAATTGTAAACTTTCATAAGAGTTCAAACATGGTCAAAGGTATGGCCAGTTACAGCCAAATTTCAAATAAAAATAACAAGCAAACATCAATAGGCCATTAACAAAATGAATAAATACATAGAAAACCTTTATGAATTAATTACGTATTTCATAATAATTAATAAACAGAATAATTTGAAAAAAAAGTAGTGGCAATTATTACTGAAGAAAATATACAAATATATCTTTTATAATAAAGATGTTCAATATGAATTGTGTAAATGTAAACAATCTCAATTGTATTACTTCTGTAATGGTAGTTTGTTTTACAGCATTGATTACAATATTTAATATATATATAATATATTAATTATCATTATTTCATTTTTAACATATGCTATTTATCATTATGATTACTTTGCATTTTAACCTAATATTTGAAATTCGGAGTAACATTAATTTCCTAAAATGATTGAACATCGTGAGATATTAGGATAACAGCAGAAAATATAGTTAGCAACTAGGATACCAACGCATGAATAAATACATTTTTATCATAATAATGTTTCTGTTCTCATGAATTTGGACACTCCTCATAAGTCAAATATGTTTAACAGCAACGACACCATTTCATGAATAAATACTTTCATATTATAATAATATTTATGAGCTCGTGACTTTGTATATTCCAATAAGAGACATATATTAACTTTTCTATATTCATTATTGGTTAATGTTTAGATATGATCTTTGATCAAATACTTCTAAACAATATAAGCTTAACCTGACTTCTTGAAACAGCCTCTCATCATTCCAGCAAGGGTTTATTTTTCTCAGTTCTCTCGCAATTCTGTTGTGTTCTCTAATGAATATGGTGTGTAAAGCTGTTAAGGCTGGATGTTCATTCAACCAACGATCTCCTGGATAAACCGAGAAACATTATCTCTAACACTGTCTGCTTTGGAAAATACAGTTTTATTTCAACATAAATAGCCATACAAAAACTAGTTGCTGCAAGCCAGGATTTTAATCCGTTAATTTTTAATTAAAACTTTTCTGGGAACTGAACATACAGCACGAACATTACACTTCATACACTCTGTCTTTTGATATGTTATATTACAGCTCTAATGTACATATTAGTGAGGTAAAAACTATAGGTCCAAAATACACAACATAACGACACTCCTGATCAGAATCGCAGTTTAGAGAATATAAATACAATGTGCTAACATATTTAATGATGGAATACTTTTCAGACAGTTTATGAACAACATAAAATTATGCATGAACATATAGTTATTCCTAATTTGAAATAAACATTATTGATTTTATTCACCGTGTTATCCTAGATTACAAAATCTAATTATTTCTTTTATTCGTTACCTGCGTCAAAGCAGAATAATCTATTTCCTGGATCACTACACAAATCGCCTCTAGCGTTTCGAGATCGTGGTAAAATGACATTTCTCTCTGAATCTCTTTGAAACCTCATCAAACCTATCAAAAGAAAGACAGTTAGAATACGTTCTTTTGTGCCTATTTTTTATTATAAATCCGATGTAAGCTGAGATTCCGAAATAAGAAATATATAAAATATTAATTACATCACTATTTTACTGGAATGTTTCAGAAAAACTTTATCAATTAAAAGTTGAATTCTCTTTCATAACTTTAAATATTTAAAATTGAAATAACATGAATTTAAGATAAAACATATCCTAAACGCTCATATTATAGTTATTTGGACAATGTATAACAATAAATTATTCTTTCTGTTTCTGTAAACAAAAATTTAACTGTTCAGGAATACTTACCGTTTTGGAATAGTCGCAGTGATTGAACGGTGTGGAGATCACTTCCGTAAATCATGGAACCGTCAACGAAACTGGTGGGAGAATTTAACTGATCCCGGGGTCCTAAGATTAAGAGTTATTTTAAGATAAGCAATACATTTAATTAACCTAAAGAAAAATTGCATTGTTTGAGACCTTTCTTTCTCAAGTTGTTTACTTCCTCTGTGTTTAATACTAGAAAATGAAGCGTATAAAGAAATAACTTTGGGGTAAGTTGATATTTCAGTGACGTCTTTCAAGAAACGTTTCTAAAGAACTCTACATGATAAAGAGGTAGGCATAGAGTCCAAAACATTGACTCAAACACCATGAAAAGGGAATGAGTGGTCCATAGGAAACTATTCATATTTTCAGCGACATTGTTCTTACAGATCGATATTCTATGATAGTGTATCTCTCCAAATTGATGTTATGGAGTAGTAACGTACAAAGAAAGTAACGTTTAACATGTTTAACATATAAAAATAAACTGATCTACAATCCATAAGTGAAAAGGTATTAATTTAACTATTATGAAATTCGGGAATAATTCAGTCAAATTATTGTTTCTGACTATTTTCTCATACTTTTCAAACCAATTTCTCATTATATACTAATCGTCCAAAATCTTGCGCTAAAGAAATATACAATGCACGATTAGCCTGTAAGTGTAATTTTATTATACTTTGTTCGTTATTGCTTTTGAAAACTCCATAGTTCCTTGAACTAAACATAGAACAATCAAATGTTGATGCTATCAAGCTAACATAGTCCATTATAAGAAAAAGAAAAGCTAATCTTCAATAACTGCGGCGCTTCAAATACTTTTAGGAAGGATTAGAGTCAATTAATATATGAGAACTTTTTTCCCTTTTTATTAGCTATATTTTTGTGCGCCAACAATACCAAGCGTGTGGCACGCGTGTACCCGATTCGATTATATAACTAATTAGGATCTCTACCAGCCTACCATCAAATTGAAATTCTTTCAGACACGATTAGAGTAAATTAAACTATGAGACCTTGGGCGTGGTCAAATACATCAATAAAAAATGTTGGATCTCCTTATTCCAAAACTGTAATTTTTACTCCAATCCGTCAGGAGATGAAGGAGTTATAAGCTAAAAGTTTGTACTTGAAAAAAACTCGGAGTCATTCTATGAGTCGCTATGTCGCGGTTAAAAATTGAATACTGACTGTTTCAAATTGAACGCTAAATAAAAACGTTTGGATAAAGCACAAATAACACCCTCACACAAAAATGTATAATAATTATGAACAATTGTTATATGTCAAAAAATTAGTTGGTCATTAATTGAACAAGAAGAATATTTTAGCAATATTGAACAAGAATAGTGGACAGGGAGTCTATTTCTGTTAGAACAATAAAATTAAAATTGTGAAGTTGTTAAGGTATATATTTCAACCCCATTAACGTTTCTAAGTATCCTCATATTTAGACTGACTTAGATACGTTATTCCCGCTCAGCTAATTGTACTGGCTTATCTGACGGAAAATAAGATTTAAAATTATTGTACCTCACGTGATTATACATCTATACGTAAACAGAAAGAGAAAAGATAAATAAGCAAAGAAAATTGAGATCTACCTCCAAGTATCACTTCCTCTTCTGGGGCGCTGTTAAATGGAGCGAGGGCACTGTCATGATCCATGAATTGACCCCACACCATCAGAAATATGATTGTAACAAGTATTAATATTATGTGGATAGAGGGGGAGGCTGATGAAATCCAAATAATAGAGTTTCTCTAAACATAATAATTGTAAACAATCATAAGCTTGTTTTTGCTCATTTATTTTTACATTTAAATATATATCACAATAATTTACACACATAGCATTACGAATATAAATCTAAACTATAAAAGTAAAATGCTTTCTGACAATATTAAAGTCTCTATTTATCTTTTACTTGTAAGAAAAAATACTGAATATATACCAAAAACCGCCATTTTCGGAAAACTACAACTAGACAGCAGTGCACTAATCAGTGTAACACTCACCGTCAGCGTATTTGGCTGGAAGAAGTCTGGTCAAACAGGTGAAAGCAGAACCGTCTTTAGGAGTTTGTAAACGGTTACACGTTCCGTCAAATTCCCGGTATTTTTGTGCACAACTACATGTTTTTTGCTCTTCATCTTCACTGAACATACTTCCCAACTTGCTTGATTTTAAACTGACATCGGCTAAAGCAGAAACTTCTTAGCTCTTTAACCCTAACCTATAAGAAAGGTAAAGATGGTGTCCATTTCATTCCAGAAATAAAGAGCTAATGGACTTCCAATCACATGACCATCTATCTTTTATCCTTGTTCGGTCTTTGTATATTTCTATGAAACGTTTTATTTAAAGATGTCATTCAAGAAACACTTGCCGAATCTAACAGACTGTACAGTATACTTATTTTTCAAACAGTTGAAAGTTGTGAAAACAACCTACAAGCTTCGGATCCTAACAGGTAGGTTGTTTCTTAAGGAGGATCGTGATTGCTGAGATTCAAATGATTACATACAATGAGTTCTTAAGGCTTGTCGTGGGTCCTTACTACCATCAGAGGTTTTTGTTAAGAACTCTTCGAGATGGTTTCTTCACTGCATACAACTCTAACATCAATCCTGCTATGATTAATGAATTTACCTCAGCATGCTTTCGATTCGGCCATTCTACATCTCAAGGTTCTTTCACAGAAATTCCATCATCTGGTAATCCCACAAGTTTCAAGTTGCAAAATAATTTTTTCCACCCATTTGGCCTCTACCAAGGGCAGACCGAATTGCTTGTGAGAGGACTTGCTGATCAGTTGGCTCAAAAATCTGATAACTTTGTCGTTGAAGATTTGACTAACTATCTCTTCCGCAAGATGGACGACAGTTTCGGACTAGATCTTATGGCTATAAATGTTCAGAGAGGCAGAGATCACGGAATTCGACCTTACGTAGATTACCTTAGAGCTATATTTAATGTTCGTGTCACTTCTTTCTCAAATCTTAGATCTTTAATGCCCGTTACCGTAGTGCAGAAGTTTGAATAAGTTTACGAGTACGTTTGTATAGTGAATATTTCACATACCTAAATTTCTTATATCAGAATGTAATGTCACTCATATATTATTTCTGTAGTATATTATTGTTATAGTCGATCGATCATAATCATAGATATTAAGTTTGTTTGTTTATTCGTAAAGCTATACAACGTAAAGCGTTACCTGAAGTGGTAACGAAGAGACAGAAATATTAAGATCTCGAAGTTCTAAGACTAAAATTTCAACGACTAATTAATTTAAGAATAAATTAAGATTGTGAAAACGTTTCTTTAGATTTTAAGATATTATTTTTCTATTTCTAGATTGTTAATTTTTAAAAACTCATTTATGTACAATTACAAAAATGTGGGTAATGTTTATGAATTTATTTTTATTTGCTTTTGTCTGTTATATTATCACATTTCTTGATCACACTGTATGAACAAGAAACATGTTTTTGTCATAAGTATTTTTTACTTCAAAAGTTGAAACATTTCTAATTTCCTTTTTAGGTCCGTTGACGACATTGACTTTTTCTCAGGTAGTATTTCAGAAAGGCCAGTTTCAGGTGGTATTGTCGGGCCTACCTGTGGTTTTATTATTGCGTTACAATACAATCGATTGAGATTTGGAGATCGATACTTCTTTGATGTGTATGGAGAAGCTGGATCTTTCACAGCTGGTACGATCAATATTTGTTTCGTACTTTTCATACAATTTAAGTTGTTTATTCATCATTCGATATTTTAAGTAAATGTTTCTTTCAAAATATGTTTAATCCAGTAACACACACACAAAACGTTAGTTGTTACGTATATCCCCTGGAAACACAGCACAGTAAATGCTACATTTCATTAATTATATTTTGTCAACCATGCACAGTGTATAGTTTTTCAGGTTGTTTGGTATTTAAAATCATACACAGTGTTTTAACTACTTTACTTTTAAATGTTTTATAAATAATACAATTTTCAGAATTATTGTTTGAAGTATAAAAGAAAATAATATTATTGACATTATTTATTTTTAAATTGATCGTCTACAGAGCCCAACTGAGAGAAATCCGAAAGGTAACTTTGTCCAGAATTTTGTGTGAGAACAGTAATGATGTGGACGAACTCCAACAATGAATCTTCCTACCAGTCTCTGAGAAGTAAGATAGAAAACTATCTTCTTTGTTTGTTTTCTTACCTTGTAAAACTTAATAACGGCTAGATTGATGATGTACTAGAAACAGAATACTTAGAAATTAATTTATGATTTTCTTGTTAAATGATTACATAATGTGTACAGTAAAATAAAGAAAACAAAAGTGTATATAAAAGTGTGAAGCAATTAATATAAAGTAGTTTAGCATTTTCTATTACTTTATGAAGTTGCGAATATTAGATTTTGAGGAAAACTATTTTAAACACTTTCTACGTTTGTTAATTTTAGCAACACATCTTTGGAATGTTCAGCTCGAGAATCGTTTGATTTCACGCCCTGGTGCGATGCTTGTAAGTAATATTATTTATCAGTTTTGATTTTTTCTGTTTTTAAAGGTTTACACCTAATGCTAGAATTATTTCTAGCAGTGTAACACAATGTTATTAAGATTCATAGAATAATAGGTGTAGACTTGCTTCTTTCTAAGATAACTTGTAAGACACACGATAAAATATAGATGATAAATCTCCAAATTATATTGTTTTAATACATTCTAAGTTAGTAGTTTAACTCTAGAGAAACAGTATTTCAACTATCAGAATGACCGAAATACGTTTTATTTAAAGTTTAGAGGTGAAACAAGTAGATAATTAACATGATAAAGATGCCTACCA